GGGAAACAGCGCCATTACCGCCTCTTCCATCCATTTTGTCAGTCTGGCCCTACATTATCTCTGCTTTCACATCGAAAAGTATCCAGGGAGGAAAGGAAATGTTCCATTTCTGGTCATGCTAAATATTTCCTTCGATCCCACAGGCAATTTTTGTCAATGTTTTCCAGTTTGCCAAACATTTAGGGAATTTTCAGATTTGGTTCAGATTGAACTGAATTTGTTTTTCAATTTTTTGTAACCACCCATGATCTCAAAAATCAGCTATTGACCCAGCTCTATCCATTTCTCACTCACAGTAACCCGAGCTGTACAATTCCCATAACCCCTATTCTTCAGCGTCCATAATACTTTCCAACAGAAATAAGAGTAAGAACTCACAGCTAACCTGCTCATGTGGTATAAACATCTAGTGTCTGATATGACTTTTTCTTTCTGTTTAATTTATATGGAAGAGAAAACTAACCCTCTCCATATTATTTTGTATTCAGTTCAGTGCAGATTCTCACAGAGGATGCACACACACCATGCTTTTATTTGTTTTGTTGGTCCCTTAACTTCAAATAAAGGCCATTGGGATGGAAATCACCTTTCTCCTCCACGTGCATGGATACAAACCAGTGACAATCTCTACAACAACCCCATAGGGGACATAAAGGGCTCCAGAGTATCAGGAGGGTGTGCACAGAAATCCACAGAAATCCCACACTTCATACTTGCAACTGTATAACAAAACCAAACCCACGACAAAGCAGAGGGAGATAGATTTGATGCCCCGCACTTCCTTCCCAATACAAACAGCTCTGTGCTTTCAAAGCATATCACAGATATTCACACATGTGCAACCGGTGCCTCCTGGAATTTTGCTGGGGCAATACCCCAATAAAGCCCCGATCTTAGTTGGTTCCTGCAGGCCTTGTTGGAATACAAACAAATTAATAATAACAAGAATACAATAATGAACAATACTATTACGGGTTCTGTGAAATTACATTGCAATGGGCTGGGAATTGAATTCACCTGTTTCCACTCCCCATCACTAAACCAATACTAAGTTAAACAGTTTCAGGAATTGGTTAGGAGTTTATTCATTGCTTTCCTCAGGGCACCCTTCACCTCCGTGTTCCTCAGGCTGTATATTAGGGGGTTCAACATGGGGATCACCAGCATGTAAAACACTGAGGCCACTTTATCTGTGACCATGGAATAGCTGGAGGTGGGACGTAAACACATGAAAAGTTGGATGCCATAAAACAGGACCACAGCGATCAAGTGGAAAGTGCAGGTGGAGAAGGCTTTGTGTCGGCCCTCGGCAGAGTGGATCTGCAGGATGGTGGAGATGATATAGACATAGGAGAGGAGGACAGTCACAAAGCTGCTCACTACAATACAGCCAACGAAGGCAAACATCACAATGTCATTGATGCGGGTGTCAGAGCAGGAAAGCACCAGCAATTGGGTGATATCACAGAAGAAATGATTGATGATGTTGGAGCTGCAGAATGACAAACGAAGTGTACAAAATGTGTGTATCATTGAATCTACCATGCCCACAGCGTATACCCCGGCCACCAGCCCTTTACAAAGCTGCCGGGACATGGTGACCGTATAGAGCAGCGGGTTACAGATGGCTACATAACGGTCATATGCCATCACAGCCAGCAACAGGCACTCAACATCTGCAAAAGAGAGAAAGAGATACATTTGCACAGCGCAGGCAGTGTAAGAAATGCTTTTCTTCTCGGCTAAGAAATTCAACAGCAT